AAAGAGTGTTACCTAGTATGGGCTAGCTGTGTTTATCCTTGCACAAGTGAAAACAAAGCTTAGCAAATTAATTCTCCTGGACTCTGCAGCTGCTATTTAAGGTGTTGAGTGATGGTAAAAAGGAAGTTCTAGTCGAAAATTCAGTTAAAAAGTTTCTGTATAGAATCTATTCCTGTCAGTTTAACTGTCTAAACCAGCCTTTCCGTTTACGTGAGCATTGCCTAAAAAAAATAGTCTTTATGACTGATTTTTAGTCTCACTGAAAGTGAAACACATTTACAGATTCTTCAAAAAGATTTTTTTTTCTTTCATTCTTTTAAGTCTCAAACAGAGAACACAATCTCCTATGTGCACTATTTGGTAGTAACTTGACCACATATTAGAAAAACTTATGTTGGTACAGCCTGAATATCAAACATTAACTTCCGTTGATTCCTATTTCTTTAGAGTCCAAATGTGGAATTGAGTTTTCTTTCTCCCTCTTCAATTTCTAAAGTAATTTCGTTTAACCTGATGTCAAATAAAATTAGATTTATGTCTTATTTTCTGAGTGAAAGTATACATGTTCTCCTTGGTAATACTTAAAAGTGCTTCAGTTCAATATAAGTACAAGTTTTCATGCTTCCAATGACATTTAGCTAATTATATTTAAGTACTAGTTTTCTTTTTTTCTTACATATTTATAGTTTGAATAGCAACCCAGCTTAGCAAATTCATGAAGCTTTTTATAGTCCATCCCATGTATAATCTAAAAAAATGCCTTCACCCTGCTAGGGGGATAAATAAAAACCTTAACCTTTCCTTACTGTTTCCAGAAAGTATTATGTACTTAAGTCATAATATTCATTCATAGTGATTATTTTCAGTCTTTCTTCATCCTACACAAGTAATCTCATCACAGATCATTTTCTATGCATAGATTTGAGCCCTAAAGTGGAAAAGTTTAATTTAGTATAAGAAAAAGAAAATGCTAGAATTGTTCAAGGTTTTTCTCATTTTTTTTTAACTTTAGAAAGCAAATATATCTATGTCTGTCTGTCTATCTATCTATCTATCAATATATATATATTAGCTAGAAGATATGTGTGCTTGCCAGAGAGCGATAGAGAGACAGAGAGGAGAAGAAAAAGCATCCTTCATGGAGAATGATCCCACCATAATCCTTTCTCTTCTCTCTCTCCATCTTTTCAGAATTTTGAGGACACGCGTGTGTGCCCTGCATGTTTCTCAAGCCACAGGGTCTGGGACTCAAATTGCCTGGTTGACCATGTGGGATCTGGCTGCCTTGTCCATCAGGGGATGGACTTGGCTCTGAAAGAAGAAAATTCTATACTATTGCTGAGTTTTGCCTAAGAACCTTTTTACCTTTATATATTTTGATTTCTCTATGAGACTTGGAACTTTTTATTATTTTGAAAAGCACTTTTACTATTTTCCACTGTTTCCAGTTAAAAAAAATAAATTGTTATATAGTATAACATGAATTAAGTATATATTATCATGTGTACTTAATAATATTTAACTCATTAAACACTACTCTTTTCTAAGAATTGTACAATATGTTTTTTAAAACTTTTCTCAGCACTCAGTCTCCTTATTTCTATTATTTTTCTGCAAGAGTGAATAAAATGATGTTCAATTATACTCAGGAACTTTTTTTTAAGAGAGATTTTTGCTATAGGGTGTGTGTGTTTGCCAGAGAGAAAGACAGAAACGGAGAGACAGAAAGTGAGAAATTGCCCCTTGGGGAGATGGCCACTATGCCATCTTTCCTCTTCCATTCTCTTCTCTGGATCTTGGGCACCCATGCACATGCGCTGGCATGAGTTTTACCACCGGTTCCAGGACTCAAACTGAGGTTGACTATGTGGGAGTCCAGCACATAACCATTACACCATATGCTGGTTCCTGAAGATGTTCAATCATACACAGGAACTTAAGTTCCTTTAAGACATGTTTTAAAATATCTTAGCTGTTAACTTTCTATGATAGAATAAAAGTGCTGTTTTTGGAAAGTCCCTCTTGGTATTAGTTGTTAAATATGCAAATATTAACTTTTTTGATAAAGTAAAGGGGATTTTACCTTTTAAACGTCCAAACTACAGAATCTTCTTTCAAATCAGGACCTCCTATCTACTCACTTCAAGGTTGCAAACATGCCACTACTTGTAATCTTCAAATACATCTACAGCAACCCATTTAAATTGTGTTCAAAGGAAATAATAACACCATCTAGTTTGACGCTTTTACCACACTTGTGCAGTTTTCATTTTGAAGTCAGCTTTGTCGTTTCATCAGAAATGAGAAATTTTTGTTGAATATAGGTGTTGGATATTACTTAATTCTACCTCCCAAAATGGTAAATAATAAGTATGTACAAAAGTGTCAAGGTGTTGCCCCCGTTGATGCTAGATTTGAACTTTTGAGAAGAATCATCTGCTTCACATAATGAAAGACTTCTCCATTTTCTGTAATTCATAAGCCCTAAATATGCTCATTTCAACTGTAATTCTTTTTTTCATCTAATTTGTACTTGGTTACGATAATCTATTATGGTGTGACAATACTTCTATTGGTTTTGTTGTGTCATTTATAAAGAATTTATACCGGTTTTCCTGTACAAATTCCACTCTTTATGAACCTGATATTCAGAATATTTGAGAACAATTTTCAGAAACGTAGTCTTTCCAGAGCACTGATGGATTCATGTGTATAAAAACTATCTAAACAAATTTTTCAGTCACTTAGCTTTCTAGTTCAATCATTCATTAAACTGTGGTGTATATAGATAGAGGAAACCAAAATGGAAAAAAAAGAAAGAAAGATAAGAGTTTGTTACTTTCCGTTCCTCTGAATCATACTTCTGGCTTATAAAGTGTGTCGAAGAGTTACTCTTTCTGTGGAGTCAGAGGAGGTGGTCCCATTTTGTGCTTAATAATAAAATTTTCCAGTTGTGATGGGGCCTAAACAATAATAGCATCAGGGGGAAATACCTCCATCATATCTTAAATGCTATAATAATGGCATTGTTTTTATTGCTTTGAAAATACAAGCTGGCAATAAAACTATTTCAGTAAATAATATCCAATTTCCAACTTAGGTCTAGGTAGAACTTTCTCAGATTGCTCCTTGCTATTACATGTTGGATAGCCTGAGGAGCAAACAATTCTAGGCTTTTATAGGCCAGGTTCATCATTTCTTTGTCAATATAATTCCCTCAAAAAAGTACTACGCCCCTGGCTATTTCCTTAGAGTTCTAGGTATAAATGACCCCATCCAAAAATCTCTTCTGGACAGAGTTTTTAAGCCCTTGGTTTTCCTTCGTTTTGATCTGTCCCTTCCTTCTCTCAATTTAATGGCAGCTACTCATAAGTCACTTGAATCTGTAGATTACTGTGGAAAGTCAACATCCCTCTTGCTGCTGGGTGGCTTCTATTTATGGTTGTGTCGCTTGTTAATTGGGTACAGAAACATTTGGGAGGTCCCAATTACTAGACTCTCATACAGTTTAGATTATAGGCCATTTCCAGAGATGTATTCCCTTCCATCTCAGCTTGCAACTTGGCTATTTCATGCCCGACTTCCCCTCTCTTAGTGCCTCGCTAAAAGAAAACAACATACAAACACTTTTATCCAATTCTTCATGAGCAACACATGTATTATATACAAGGCATGACTTCCAAATTGTCACAGCCAACACCCTTACCAGGTCCTTTGCTCTACTGCGGTCATCAGCTTTCTAGGCAGTTAGGTCTATTTTCCCCCTTTCCATAATCACTGTATGCACACATTATTTATTCTGTAGCATCAGACATCTGTTTTTGGTTTATATATTAGGTATGGGATAAGCTAAGCTCTCTCTCAAAAAAAAAAAAAAAAAAAAAAAGAAATTGAAAGAAAAAAGAAACCTTAAAATCCAGTGGCCAAACAAGTAGGAAGTTTATTTTATCTCCAATGTAGTCATGCACGTGACCCATTCATATCCCATTTAAGGAAACTAACTCGCATGACCAAAGCCATCTATTGTTGGCTTTAGAAATTTGAGAATGTCTTAGCAAAGCATCCCTGTGCCTAAAGTAAACTTAAAAGCTTCAAATGCTAGAAGGGGAAGAAAGGACACTATGAACTGTTAGCTCTCTCTCTACCATACACAGTCCAAGGTTTTATCTACCCATTTTTTCTCTGTAATGTACCCATCTTATTTTCTAGGCTCTTGAGCTTGAAGGAAAAAATTCATATACATTTAGTGCTATAGTTTTCATTCTTCTTCAAATAATTATAATATACAAATAATTTATTAGGAAGCCCAATCCTTGTAATAGAGTTAACTATGATATAATATAAAATAATTTTTAGTTATTTCTATTCACTTTAATTAGACATAAAATTTATATATATAATTATTTTATTTAACTTTATTTATTTTTAATTTGACCAGAGAGGGACAGAGGAAAAGAGAGAAAGAGAAAGAGAGAGGGAGGGAAAGTGAGAAAGCAGGCTGCCAAGTCCAAGACTTGAACCATGGTCAGCCAGTGCCTCTACCACCACACCATCTGCTGGCCCAATATTTTTCTATATTTTGATAAATGGAGTGCTTTTTTTTCCACTCTGCAGGTAGGTATATATACTATGTCTATTTACAAAATCATTGCAAAACAATGTAAAAGTGATTTTAAAAAATTCTCTTTCCTGTAGATGCTACTTAATTTGTTGACTTAATTACCATCAGACAATTTTGATTAGTAGTTTCCCAATATGTATTTCATCATATGTTATTTTGTAACAGCCCTTGGATATACTATCCTTAGAGTAAAACTTTGCTTGTATTTTAAATACAGGAAGAACATTCTTCGTTTCTTAGATGCAGAACGAGATGTCTCGGTGGTCAAGAGCAGTTTTAAGCCTGGTGATGTCATTCACTATGTGCTAGACAGACGCCGGACACTAAATATTTCCCACGATCTACACAGCCTCCTACCTGAAGTTTCGCCCATGAAAAACCGCAGGTTTAAGACCTGTGCAGTTGTTGGAAATTCTGGCATTCTGCTAGATAGTGAATGTGGAAAAGAGATTGACAGCCACAATTTTGTAATAAGGTGAGCTTTCTTCTGCTTTTTAGAGATTGTCATTTCTTCAAAGATGTTTTACTTAGAAAACTGGCAGAGATATTAAAGTTTAATATTGATGTTAAGTATTATTAAGAGAGAAAATACTTATCTATGATATCCTCTTCCATGTACTATCCCAAACATACATTTATCTTGAAATAGAAAATTTAAATTATTGTATCATTGAAAGTAAATATCTCATTGTTGCAATGATTCACACCAGCTTTGGAGGGAGGTGCAAATGGCAATATTGCCAAATTTAATACACAAGTAAAATATTTTTGTTAATATCTTTTCTTTGTACTTACTAGTTTTGTGTGCCTTGAGCAGAGATTTTGAAGATTACTATGCAATGATGCAATAGAGACAAGTTAACTTTATGTTTTTACTGATAATTATTTAGCAGAATCTAAGAATACCAAGCTTGTATTTGACACCCTGCTCCTAATTGCCTTCATTACTCTTCATACAATGTATTTTTTTACGTTAGTATACTTCAGTTTTTTAGTATTCTCACATAAGTAAACATGCATTTTTTTTTCATTGAGGGATCAACAGACATTTGATGAGTTATATGTTTGATTAACTCTTTATTAACTAAAAATTTCAACAGTGAAAATGGAAATGTGATCCTATCAGAGGTATTATCAGCTATAATTTCTAATTCTTATATCTTTACAGTTTCATTGCTTGTTTTAGTGCCTTAGAAAAATTTGCTGAATAAGTAAATCAAGTATATTAAAATATGAAGTAGTACAATATAGAGATATATAAGAAAAATATACTGAAATGACATACCGATAAATATTTGAAGTCCCCTGGAGATATTCTGGAATGTAACCTGTGAAAGTATAGATCATGAAAAAAATCTTTCTGGAATAAGGTCTTCATAAATGAAGGTATTTAGCTATGTAAAAATTAACCATAAATAGGCAAATAACATTTCATAGAACAATAGCTATGAAACAATCACACTAGACTATTATTAGGTGAAAACAGTTCACAATGGCAAGTGTACCTGCAAACCTTTTAGGCTATTGGTTTGCCTATTCTCATTAGAGTGCAGAGTTAGAGTGATTTAAAACCAGTCGAAACTTTAAAACCTTTTACACCCTTAAGCTGGCTGGACTGAGAGAAGAACCTGTCTGCATGTAGACATACAAACAAAACTGTATACAAAGAGAAGTAAAAAATATTTTTTGCACAGGTGATAATGGAAGTGGAAGTGATGCACATTAAGCATTGAGGTTGTGTGTGGCATGGCGGTGAAGAGAATCTAAGGCTTCTAGAATTCCTGAAGTAACTAAAGTCACAGGGCAGATAAAATACAGAAGTAAAGATTTTTAAGGTATAGTGAAGTTGTTGCGATCTAAAAAGGGGACTTGAAAAGGCAGTTAATTCTGCAGGAAATCAGGACCCAAATTTGACATGCGCACACTTGCCTGGTATGATTATCCAGCTGCCGGTTCTGGGACTTGAACCATGGTTGGCCATGTGGGAATCCAGCACCTTAACGACTGTACTACTGCTGGCCCTCTTTCTATGTATTAAGAGTGACTAGATGGGACCAGCAGATGGCATAACAGTTACATCCCTGGACGCCCATGTACTTGACCATGGTTCAAGTCCTGGGCATGGAAGCCTAAAACTCACACTGGGCATGTGTGTGTCGTGTCCAAAATCTTGAAAGGAGATGGAGAAGAAGAGATTGTGGCATGACCATACCCCCCGGGGAGGTGATCTCGCTTTCTGTTTCTCTGTCTCTCCGGAGAGTGCACATATCCTGTAGCAAAAAAAAAAAAAAAAGACTGAGTGACCAGTCACTGAATTTGCTGTATATAACAGCCTTTCAATTGGATGTTTCCTGCCTTTTCCTCCTGGAAATTATAAATTATATATCCTGCTTTGTATCTCACTCCCCTGTAGTTGGCTTTGTATCCTCCTCCCCCATAGGTTTCTAAATTCCTGGGCTCTAGTCTATTTGTAAATAAAATTCTGAGTCTATGAAATCTTATAGGCTATATCTCAGATTCTAAAATTAAAGACTATTTTCTCCTTCACTGGCCCTGCAGCAGCAGCGGGCCACCTGGTAGCCTGCCCACACAGTGAGACTATGGACAGTTGGGCATTTGGATTGTACTAAGCTACTCTACTGCTCCTGCTGCAGAACAGCTAGAATCTAGGAACACAGTTAATGTAGATATGCTTTCTCTTCCTTTTATGTCTTTGGCACCTCATGTTATGCCTATTTTCCAAAACCCTTTAGTCCACCTTAGGATAATAAACTCCCATCCCAACCTTGGAATACTCTTCAATCATTTCTACAGTGCCTAAACTCCGTGCTATTCAGTAAACTGACTTGCCTGCTGTATTCCATACTCTGGCTCCAGAAACTTAATCTACCATATTGCTAACTGTCAGATGACTTTGACTGTGTCTTATTGGTTTGGGGCCAGTTTTGTCAACCCACTAGGATCTAATGTTTTAGCAGTATAGTGTCAGAAGCAGCTTTACCATATCTTGAACGGGAACCTTGCTGAAGCCATAGCTACATTCTGACCTAACACTTTTATATGCAATGGCTACTTTACCTTCTCTCAAACTTCGTGAGTGTATTATCTACACATCTGAAATTGAAAAGGGAAAATTCTTTGCCTAGATAGCTAGCAATTTTAGGTAGTATGGAAAAATACTTAGAAAACTTAGAGCATAATGCTGAAATAGTGGAACAACTACTATCTTCTCTTATTGGCAACTTCTGGAGGATTCTGCTTCCTGAAGAAATAAAAGCCTCAAATGGATTTAAATGGACGAATATACATCACAGGGGACCAGCAGTTAGCATAATGGCTATGTCACTGGACTCCCACGTAGTCAACCATAGTTCAAGTTCCGGACCCGGTGGCTTAAACTCACACTGGGCGCGTGTCCGTGCATGCCCAAGATCCCGAGAGGAGAATGGAGGAGAAGAGATTGCGGCGTGGCCATCCCCCCTGGGGTGTGATTTCTCACTTCCTGTCTCTATGTCTCTCTCTGTCTTTCTGGCTAGCGCATGTGCCCTACAGCAAAAACCTCTCCAAAAAAAAAAAGAAAGAAAGAAAAAACTAGTAAAAACCTTAAAAAGCTAGTTAAATTTGTTGGACTTTTTATATATGTATATGTGTGTGTGTGTATAAAAAAATATATATATATTGCTATATATGTATATATCTATATCTATATATAGCTTTGACATCACTATTCATTTTCCAGATGCATTCTTGTATATCTGCAGCCCAATAGAACCTGCCTTCAAATGTTGCTCGATTTCCTACCCAAATCACCTGCACATGAAATGAGAAATTTTAGATTGGAATCGGAAGCTTTGTCTAAATGGGCTATGTTTGGGGAATTCCTTTTCATTGACTCTAATGTAGAAATTTGATGGCCCCACACATATACAATCCCTGCCTTTATGTGATTGTGCCCCTCATCTAGGGGAAGGGATGGCGTCTGTGCTGTCACAGAACATCCTCCCCAGGGACTTCCCTGACTTGGTCTGAAATACCTCTTATCACCTCATCATCTGTCATTATCTCTTTGCCCTTGTTCTTTGCATCATGTGTTTATTTCCCTAACTTTAGTGTGAGAGAGAAACTCTGTCTGCATTGCTCCATTTTTCAGTCTCAGTTCTTTGAAAAGCACTTATCATGTTTATGTATTCTCTTAACATTTGCTATAGGTAGACAGGCAGGCATTAAGAAGGAAAAGAAAGGGAGGGAGGGAGAAGGGAAACAAAAAT